GTGGGTTCATGGCTGGACTATCATGGAGTTTCAGGCCAGGGCTTTTATGCTGCACACTCATCTTTTTCCCTGTGTCTCTCATTTATTCTCCTTGTTTTCATTGTTTTCAGAGAGCTGCTTCTAGTAGAGACTTCTCAGCCACAAGATGGTTCCCCAGAGTAGTTCAAGATAGGCTTTTCTGCTCTTCCTTGGGCCCCAGTCTTTAATGTACTATTAGTAAACTTAAGACCATTTATCTAAACCAGGATACAGCTATGAAGACACAACTGTATTTATCTTTAAGCCATGTTTTCCTAGTTGCCTGGAAACTTAAGCAATCAGTATCAGAAATAGTTTTTGTTTGAATTTTTTAATAATTGTATTATTATTATTATTATTATTATTATTTAGAGACGGAGTCTTGTTGTGTTGCCCAGGCTGGTCTCAAACTCCTGGCCTCAAGCAGTCCTCCTGCCTCAGCCTCCCAAAGTACTGGGATTACAGGCCTGAGCCACCAGACCCAGCCTATGTCTTTTGAGCTATTTGAATCTATGAATCAAAGTTTACTAGTATAGATGTTTGCTCTTTTATTACTAACCCAACTTTTAAAATAGCTTATAAGATTATGTTTAAACATACATAGAATAGCTTTCTTTGCTGTGTCTACTGAGATAATGAAGACCATTCTCAGCAATCAGACTGTCCACATTCCAAAAAATGGTGACATTACTGTGAAGGGACACACAGTTATCGTGAAAGGCCCCAGAAGAACCCTGCAGAGGGACTTCAATCACATCAGCGTAGATTCAGTCTTCTTGAAAAGAAAAAAAAGAGGCTCCAGGTTGACAAATGGTGGGGAAACAGAAAGGAACTGGCTGCCGTTCAGACTATTTGTAGTCATGTACAGAACATGATCAAGGGTGTTAACACTGGACTTCCATTACAAGGTGAGGTCTATGTATGCTTACTTCCCCATCAATGTCATTATCCAGGAGAATGGATCCCTTGTTGAAATCTGAAATTTCTTGGGTGAAAAATATATCCTCAGGGTTCGGATGAGACCAGGTGTTGCTTGTTCAGTATCTCAAGCACAGAAAAATGAATTAATCCTTGAAGGTAATGACATTGAGCTTGTTTCCCATTTAGAGGCTTTGATTAAGCAAGCCACAGCAGTTAAAAACAAGGATATAGGAAATTTTTGGATGGTATCTATGTCTCTGTAAAAGGAACCGTTCAGCCGGCTGATGAATAAGATCTAAGAGTAGTCCAGCTTCTGAAATAAGATGCCGGATGATTCCCGAGACCTATTTGTGATATTTAAATGATGCAAAAGACCTATTGATTTGGAAAGAAAAATAAAATAAAATAAAATAAAAAAATAAATAGAACAGAAAGACTGGTAAATAGACATTAACAGTCTTTGGGTAGTGAGCTGTGAGTCATTTGTTCTTTCATTTTTCAAGTTTTCAAATATGAACTACTTTATGATGGATGAAAATGGATGTTGGGCATATTCTTCAGCTAATCAGAAAATATTTATTAATGAAAAAAATATATTTATGACCCATCCAATATGTGTAGAGCCAGCATATATGTTTTCTTAGTCTTGATAGTTACATAAGAAAATATTGGAGGCTGGGCACGGTGGCTCACGCCTGTAATCCCAGCACTTTGGTAGGCCGAGGTGGGTGGATCACCTGAGGTCAGGAGTTTGAGACCAGCCTGGCCAACATGGTGAAACTCCGTCTCTACTAAAAATACAAAAATTAGCCAGGTGTGGTGGTGGGTGCCTGTAATCCAAGGTACTCAGGAGGCTGAGGCAGGAGAATCACTTGAACCCAGGAGGCAGAGGTTGCAATGAGCTGAGATTGTGCTACTGCACTCCAGCCTGAGTAAGAGAGCAAGACTCTGTCTCAAAATAATAATAATAATATTGGGTACTCCGTTACTAAAGGCAGGGACTATGGCTTAAAATTCTGTAGCTGTGATACCTACCATATGCCTTACACATAGAGAGGTCTAGGAAATAACTGCCTGAGCACAGAAACCATTGTTCCTAGCTTTGGAGGAAAGAACTGTATTTTACTAGTTGTAAATCTTTGGGTTTGGTGTCCTCAAGGTTGAGTGTTTCAAGTGTTTTAAGGTTGAGCTAACACTCAAGCAGGTTTAGCTCAACCTGCAAGTTGAGCTAAACTTGAGTCTGAAGTGGGCAAGTTGTGTCCATTCTTTTTTTTTTTAAGAGATGGTGTCTCACTCTGTTGCCAAGGAGTGCAGTGGTACAATTGTAGCTCACTGTAGCCTTGAACTCCTCAAGCAATCCTCCTGCCTCAGCCTGTCATGTAGCCAGTACCACAGGTGCATGCCACTATGCCTGGCTAATTTTTATTTTATTCATTCATTCATTCATTCATTCATTCATTTTTTTGAGATGGAGTCTTGCTCTGTCACCCAGGCTGGAGTGCAGTGGTGCAATCTCAGCTCACGGCAACCTCCACCTCGCGGGTTCAAGCAATTCTCCTGCCTCAGCCTCCGCAGTAGCTGGGATTACAGACATGCATCACCATGCCCAGCTAATTTTTGTATTTTTAGTAGAGGTGGAGCCATGTTGGCCAGGCTGGTCTTAAACTCCTGACCTCAAGTGATCCGCCCGCCTCAGCCTCCCAAAATGCTGGGATTACAGGTGAGAGCCACAGTGCCTGGCCTAATTTTTTTTTTTTTTTAAATAGAGACAAGGTCTTGCTGTGTTGACTAGGCTGGTCTAAAACTTCTTACCTCAAGCAGCCCTCCAGTCTCATCCTCCCACAGTACTGAGATTACAGATGTGAGCTACCATACCCAGCCCATTCTATGTCTTAATTATAGAACTAATAATTAGGGATTAAAAAGCCAACTACTCCTTACTGAAATAAGATTAGCAATGGAGTGGACAAAAATTCAGTATCGGTCCAAAGCAATAAACAGTAATATTTTTTAAAATTCAGCTGGCCAGGCACAGTGGCTCACGCCTGTAATCCCAACACTTTGGGAGGCCGAGGCAGGTGGATCACGAGGTCAGGAGTTCCAGACCAGCCTGGCCAATATGGTGAAACCCCATCTCTACTAAAAATACAAAAATTAGCCAGGCATGATGGCGCATGCCTGTAGTCCCAGCTACTCTGGAAGCTGAGGCAGAAGAACCCGGGAGGCGGAGGTTGCAGTGAAGTGAGATTGCGCCACTGCACTCCAGCCTGGGTGACAGAGCGAGACTTCGTCTCAAAAATTAAAAAATAAATACATAAATAATAAAAAAATTCAGCCCTTGCTAATTCATTATTAGATCATCAGAGTCTACATGTATATTGGATATAACAGGTACTAATGTAATATTTGATAACTGATTAAATAAATGAATTAATTTTATTTATTATAAGGCTTTAAATAATGTCCTGAAAATCTACAGAGGAGGAACTTATGAGTAAAGAGAAGCTAGACTAAAATAAATACCTCTTCCAACCAAGACTCAAGAAAATTAAGGATTTCTGCAAGACCTTTCAACTTGTGGTTTTTGTGGGCCCAGCAATTCTTATAAATTAAAGATCTTTTATACTTCTGATATATGATTATATAATACAAGTTATAGTTTTTTCAGCTTTTGTTTTACTTAGTAATATCCATTTATAGCTTAGTTTAATAGGTGGTACATAAAAGTAATTTATGTACTTTTCCTTATGAAAAATTGAGTATAGGCAAGCTCACCAAAGTACTAGATTTCTAAAAACCCAAGTCTAGACCTTTGAGGAGTTCATGTGCACACAATGAAGTGGAGGCCGATGGGAAGTGGAGAGAATGGGGATAAAGTAACTGACTGGAAAGTAGGCTACAGGGTAGAAATTGACAGATCTTTTGTAGAAAAGGGAATTTCAATGAAAGGAGGCAGTATTAGCAATCAAGTCATAACATAGAAAAGTCACTGTCTAGTCTAATCATTTACAAACTTAAAAAGAAGTAGAAGCCTTTATTCAAATCAAAACTTATGCAGAATACCAATGTGATAAATATATAAAGGTTGAGCTGTTTGGGTTGAAACAAGATTTGAAATGTATGGGAAACGAAATCCTAGGAAACAAAATCCCATCCCTCTTGAGCCTCTCTATCTCTATCCTAGTGGGCCCTAAAGAGCACAGTTTAAAACAACTGAACTAGGCTGGGTGCAGTGGCTCACACTTGTAATCCCAGTGCTTTGGGAGGCCAACGCAGGAGAATTTATTGAGGCCAGAAGTTCAAGACCAGCCTGGGCAGCATAGTGAGATCCCATCTGTACCAAAAAAAAAAAAAAATTAGGCTGATTAGGCTGGGTATGGTGGCTCAGGCCTGTAATCCCATCTCTTTGGGAGGCTCAGGCGGGTGGATCACCCGAGGTCAGGAGTTCGAGACCAGCCTCACCAACATGGTGAAACCCCGTCTCTACTAAAAATACAAAATTAGCTGGCCATGGTGGTGCATGCCTGTAATCCCAGCTACTTGGGAGGCTGAGGCAGGAAAATCGCTTGAACCCGGGAGGCAGAGGCTACAGTGAGCTGAGATCACGCCATTGTACTCCAGCCTGGGCAACAAAAGTGAAACTCTGTCTCAGAGAAAAAAAAAAAAAAGCCGGACATGGTGGCTCACATCTGTGGTCCCAACTACTCAGGAGACTGAAGTGGGAAGATTGCTTGAGCCCAGGAATTCAAGGCTGCAATGAGCTGTGATTGCACCTGTGCACTTCAGTCTGGACAACAGAGTGAGACCCTGTCACACACATACACAAAAAAGAAAAACCTCTCTGCAATGTAGCCTGACCAATAGGTAGATGTTAGACATTAATGTGTAATAGGGAAGCATTTTCCTCAGGCTTTCAAAGATGGGAAATTATTATGGATTGTTTTCATACCCCTTACCAGAAAATAGTGCTTTATCATTGAGGTGACCTGCTGGAAAAAATCACTCCACTAATTTGAGAGTTTTCGCTTGACCTTTTGGGGTTCTGGCTTTGTGTTTTTTAGCTCTTGAATATCGTCTCTCAACTAGCCAAACAGAATCTGCGACTGCTGGTCCTAGGCCGGAAGCACATGTTAAGACAGAGTTTCCGGTGGAGAAAGGATGAGATGGCAGAGGTGCAAAAGCAAGCCAGCTGTTTTTTTGCTGATAACATGTAAGTGTTGGAGGTAATAGGTGAATTATACAGTGCTCCAGACATCTGCTTATTAGTTACCTACTTTAAAACCTATTTTTTAAATGCATGTGTATATGTATACTCACCCTCATTTAAAAAAAAAAAGATTTGAGACAACTTACAAAACTAGTTTCTTCTAAAAAAAAAAAAAAACACTACAGTTTCTATGGCAGGATAAACTTAAACAGATGAGGAAATCAGGATAAAGGAGAAGTGGGGAGAAGATAAGTCAGGAGTGAGATTAGTACACCGAATACATGCCATAAGATCCTAAGTAGATCATTTAGCAAATACTTGACCAACAGGAGCACTTTCTATGTTCTTGGAGAAAGAGCAGTACCCTCTTAGAATTTACAATAAACAGATAAACAAACAGGTAATGTCATTCCAGGCAGTGATTAGTACTATGGGGACAATAAAGCAAGGTAGATAGAGTTTAGGTAAGGGATAGTTCAGAGGGTTGTGAATGGGGTGGTCAAGAACAGCCTTTCTGAGGGGGCAAATTCGATGAGGAGTGAGTTATTTGAGAAAGGGGGAGAGGTGGTGGGAAGAACATCCCAAATAACATGAAATATTTAAAAAGCCCTGAGGCAGGCCGGGCTCACACCTGTAATCCCAACACTTTGGGAGGCCGAGGCAGGCGGATCATGAGGTCAGCAGATCGAGACCATCCTGGCTAACATGGTGAAACCCTGTCTCTACTAAAAATACAAAACATTAACTGGGCGTGGTGGCGGGTACCTGTAGTCCCAGATACTGAGGAGGCTGAGGCAGGACAATGGCATGAACTCGGGAGGCGGAGCTTGCAGTGAGCCGAGATCGCGCCACTGCACTCCAGCCTCGGTAACAGTGCGAGACTCCATCTCAAAAAAAAAAGAAAAGAGCCCTGAGGCAGGCATAAGCTTGGCATGTGTTTGAGGAAAGCAAGAAGGCCAGTTGGGCTATAATAGCAAGAGGGAAAGTAATAAGTTCTGAGATTAGAGAGAAGGCAGAGACCCCAATACAGAGGAACTTACAGATCCTGGTAGACAAGCAGGAGGCCTAGATTTTATGCTAAATGTAAGGAGAAAATTACTGTTGAGCTGCAGCTTCCCAGGAAGCCAAAGGAACATGGTAAACATGGTCAGTAACAAAACCTACAGTAAGCCAGCCACGGTGGCTCATGCCTATAATCACAGCACTTTGGGAAGCCAAGGCAGGCAGATCACTCAAGATCAGGAGTTCGGGCCGGGCGCGGTGGCTCAAGCCTGTAATCCCAGCACTTTGGGAGGCCGAGACGGGCGGATCACGAGGTCAGGAGATCGAGACCATCCTGGCTAACACGGTGAAACCCCGTCTCTACTAAAAATACAAAAAACTAGCCGGGCGAGGTGGCGGGCGCCTGTAGTCCCAGCTACTCCGGAGGCTGAGGCAGGAGAATGGCATAAACCCGGGAGGCGGAGCTTGCAGTGAGCTGAGATCCGGCCACTGCAGTCCAGCCCGGGCTACAGAGCAAGACTCCGTCTCAAAAAAAAAAAAAAAAAAAAAAAGATCAGGAGTTCGAGACCAGCCTGGCCAACATAGCAAACCCCATCTCTACTAAAAATACAATTAGCCGGGTGTGGTGGCACATGCATGTAGTTCCAGCCACTCAGGAGGCTGAGACAGCAGAATCACTTGAACCTGGAAAGCGGAGGTTGCAGTGAGCTGAGATCGTGCCACTGCACTCCAGCTTGGGTTACAGAGTGAGACAGTCTCAAAAAAAAAAAAAAAAAAAAAAAACCCCACCAACCTACAGTAGCTATAAAGTGAGGAAAAAGATAGCTAATTAGGAGGACTACAGATCCGCAACAGCACACGTGAACTCAGTGCACTCTTGTGCATTGAGGTTTTCGTATTGTTTATGCTAACAAAACTTTATTTCCAACTTTGCTTAGATAATGAATGTATATGCCTCACCCCCAAATCTAGGTTTCATAGTCTGAATGTGATAACTTCAAGATTTGTCAGTATTCTCCAAATCATTTATTTTATTGAGATGGAGTCCTGCTCTGTCACCCAGGCTGGAGTAGTACAGTGGCACAATCTTGACTCACTGCAACCTCTGCCTCCCGGGTTCAAGCAGTTCTCCTGCCTCAGCCTCACAAGTAGCTGGGATTACAGGCACCCGCCACCATGCCCAGCTAATTTTTTTATTTTTAGTAGCGATGGAGTTTCACCATGTTGGCCAGGCTGGTCTCGAACTCCTGACCTCGTGATCCGCCTGCCTCTCAGCCTCCCAAAGTGCTAGGATTACAGGCATGAGCCACCTCGCCTGGCCCCCAAATCATTTATTATTTAAAAAGTGCAATGGTTCTCAATGCATAAAGCAAGGGAGAAGCAAACCTCTCATCCAGTTCCCAAACCACATCCCTTCTTTTTTTAGCTGGAAGATGGTGCTTCCATTTCTCCAGGAGCAGAAGACCTAATGGCAACATTGGGTAGACAGTAAGATTGCAGGCTTGGGAATTAGTTTACCCAGGTTGAGATCATGGCCCTGCCACTCCATGTTTGGGAAAAGTGTTTCCTTTTTCTCTGTCTTCCTTATCTCTTGTGTAACCTTTATGGGGTTGTTTTAAGGATTAAATAAGATAATACCTGTAAATAACTCATGTAAAACTCTTGGCACAGCACCAAGTACATGAAAAACATTTATTTATGTTAGTTGCTGTCATGATCATTATTGTTTTCCTTATATGGAAGAATTAGATAAATTTGAAGCGTTATGACCAAGAAACCTGTTGGAAAGTGGTCTCACTGCTTGGTTTGGGGTCTGTATTTGTTGCATCAGCTGAAGTTCCAAACTCAGTTGTAACGATCAATTCACTTACCTTCTGTGGCTTTGGATTTGAATATTTAAATGTTTATCACTAAATCTGTTTTCCACTAATGTACTAAAGAAGCTTTTCAAACATACACTAGAGAGAATAGTGTAGTGAATAGTGAGTCCCCATGTAACTGTCACCCAGCTCCAACAATTACCATCATTTTGCTAATTTTGTTCTATAAACCACACACTTTTTTTATTTTTCTTTTTTTCCTGGAGAGTTATAAGGCAGATTTCGTCATTTTATCATTTCACTTGAAATACTTCAGGATAAAGAAAACTTTAAATTGTCCTATTTAGGGTCATTTGAATCAAGGCATAGGGCATATCACAAGTTGCAGTCTGAATCTCCTAAAGCAAGGCCGTTACTGCCATTTTTACAGCACATTTATTAAAATGATAAGTGCTAAGGTTGATGGTCTGTTGGAGGCTTTGAGTCACTGGCTCTTACCAAAGAAGATGTTTTGGGGTGTCGATCCAGGTGACTGTCTAGAAGCTGCTCTGAAATACCAGTTCAGCTTCGGAGGCAGCCAGTTATTTGGTGGCTTGCAAGAAAGTCTCATCCTGCCCTAGTAGTATATTGGGTGTTTCTTGAATTTGGGTGAAGAGAGAGGGAAAAGGTGTGCTCTGTGATAGATAAGGCAAATAGGAAAAATGCCCAAAGAGAAGCAACTTTTAAGTGTGAGGAGAGCACTGTTAGAATTCATCGTTCTAGTGGAAGAGTCCAGTAAGCTGTGAGAATCCCAGGCATAGCATTCCATTCCCCTCAGCTTTCCATCTGTATTCTAGATGGTATTGCTTACCAGCTAAGGACTTTCAGGTAGTTCTTAAGTATTACTAGGATCATGCTGGTCAAGAATTCAGAGGCACCTCCAAGGAAAGTAAGTAAAAAGTGTAGCGAAAAAACGCTGTCTTCTGCCTCTTCAGCTGTACTTGATTGTGTCCTTTCTTATGCCTGGTTCAGCTCGAAGGATGATCCATTCCTTCTGTATGCCACACTGCACTCCGGGAATCACTGCAGGTTTATCACAAAAGACCTGATGCGGGACCACAAGGCCTGTCTGCCTGATGCCAAGACCCAACGCTTGTTTTTTAAGTGGCAGCAGGGACATCAGCTGGCAATTATAAATGGGTTTCCAGGATCAAAACTGACCTTTCAGGTAATGGTATCTGTTCTCTATGTAATATTAACAGAGTCAAGTATACAGTAAGAATGTGGCATAGAAAAAGAGTGTCACATCTAATTGAAGGTTCTAAATGCTTTATTTTTCTCAGTTTTAGGTTAGTATTTATTACTAACCAGTTCCTAGAAAGAGTCTGCTAAAGGTTTCATAGGCCAACCTCAAATTAATTAAAACACTTAGGGACTGGGCACGGTGGCTCACGCCTGTAATCCCAGCACTTTGGGAGGCCAAGGTAGGCAAATCACGAGGTCAGGAGATCGAGACCATCCTGGCTAACAAGGTGAAACCCCATCTCTACCAAAAATACAAAAAAAAAAAAAAAAATTAGCCAGGCGTGTTGGCGTGTGCCTGTAGTCCCAGCTACTCAGGAGGCTGAGGCAGGAGAATGGTGTGAACCCTGGAGGCAGAGCTTGCAGTAAGCCGAGATCACGCCACTGCACTCCAGCCTGGGCAACAGAGCAAGACGCTGTCTCAAAAACAAAAACCAAAAAACATTTAGGATATCACCAATTTTGACTTCAATTAATTATGTCATAAATTATGACTTTTTTTTTTTTTTTTTTTGGAGATGAAGTCTCGCTCTGTCGCCCAGGCTGAAGTGCAGTGGCACAATCTCGGCTCACTACAGCTTCTGCCTCCTGGGTTCAAGCGATTCTCCTGCCTTAGCCTCCCGAGTAGCTGGGACTACAGGCACGTGCCACCACGCCCAGCTCATTTTTGTATTTTTAGTAGAGACGGGGTTTCACCATGTTGGTCAGGCTGGTCTTGAACTTCTGACCTCATAATCTGCCCACCTCGGCCTCCCGAAGTGCTGGGATTACAGGTGTGAGCCGCCGTACCCTGCCATAAATTGTGACTTCTTATATACGTTTTTTATTTTTGTTTATTTGCAATAGCTCAAATTCCTTATTTCTTATAGTTTGTTATACTTTTAAGTAATTTGTTTTCCCTGTTTAATTCATTTCTATGACACAGTCTCAATTGAATTCTCGTTTGATTCTAGTTAAGATATCTATAATATAAAGACATATCTTGTGTGAAAGCAAAGGTAGAGAATCCAAAGTGAGTTATTACAGAAAAGTACACTGGCCCGTGGTATAATAAATAAGGTTCAATGATCAGATATATTGGCCAGGCGTGATGGCTCACGCCAGTAATCTCAGCACTTTGGGAGGCCAAGGTGGGTGGATCACTTGAGGTCAGGAGTTGAAGACAAGCCTTGCCAACATAGCGAAACCTCATCTCTACTAAAAATACAAAAATTAGCCAGGCGTGGTGGTGTGTGCCTGTAATCCCAGCTACACAGGAGGCTGAGGTACAAGAATCGCTTGAACCTGGGAGGTGAAGGTTTCAGTGAACTGAGATTGTGCTACTGCACTCCAGCCTGGGTGACAAAGCAAGACTCCGTCTCAAAAAAAAAAAACGGAGTTTAGGGGAGTGGGGAGATGTTGGTCAAAGGAGAAAAAATTTCAGTTAGATAAGAGGAATAAGTTCCATGATGACTGTAGTTAATAATTAATAACAATGTATTATATCCTTGAAAATTGCTAAGAGTAGATTTTAAGTGTTCTCACCACAAAAATTGTAAATATATAAGGTAATGCTCATGTTAATTAGCTCAATTTAGCTATTCTACAATGTATGCATATTTCAAAAACATGCTGTACATGATAAATGTATATAATTGCTATTCGTCAATTTAAAAATAAGTAAGAATGGCTGGGTGTAGTGGCTCACTTGTGTAATCCCAGCACTTTGGGAGGCCCAAAGCAGGAAGATTGCCTGAGCCTAGGAGTTTAAGACTAGCCTGGGCAACATGGTAAAACCCTGTCTCTATAAAAGTAAATAAATAAGAATATCCAAAACAATAGATTTGTAGTAAATATGGTATCAAATGATACCATAGTGATTCAAGATATAGTTGAAGAACTATTAATTCTTAAGTATAATAAAGGTATACAGATATTGATCTTACATTTGTAAAATAAGACCTTATTTCTTAGAGATACATACTGAAGTATTACAGAAGAAATTACATATCTGAGGTGGGGGGGGCACCGTATGGATGAAATAAGACTAGAGATGAATTGATAATGGCCGAACCTAGGTGATGAGTACATGGGAGTTCATGATACCATTTCTCTACTTTTGTGTGTAGTTGTTCCTTGGTATCCATAAGGAATTGGTCTCAGGACCTCTCACAGATACTAAAATCCTCAAATGCTTAAGTCCCTTATATAAAATGGCATAGTATTTGCATATAACCTACACACATCCTCCTGCATACTTTGAGTCATCTAGATTATTTATAATACCTAATACAATGTAAATGCTATATGAATAGTTGTTTCTGTATTGATTAGGGAATAATGCCAAGAAGAAAAAAAGTCTGTACATGTTCAGTTTTTTTTTGTTTGTTTTTTGTTTTCAAATATTTTCAGTCCGTGGTGGTTTGCCAGGGATACAAAGCCTGCAGTTATGGAAGGCTGACTGTATTTGAAATTTTTCACTCACACACACAAAACTGATAGAGCCAACAAAAGAACATCTGTCTTACATAAATGTAATACTTCTATAGAGAGTCTTTAGACTTAAAAATGAGACCCCTCCAAAAAAGAAACTCCTAATGCTAGGGCTTATCTTCACAGAGTTAGCTGCCCTTTGAAAATCCATTATTAAGTGAGATAATCCATTATTAATACTCTTCTGAAGCAAACTTGAGAAGTGTCAGAAAGAGAAATGGCCAGGTAGCCCTTTAGTGTTGTTCTCAATGTTTTGTTCTCTTTTTAATTCAACAGCATATTCTCAGCTATGACACAGTGGTGCAAACAACTGGAGACTCGTGGCACATACCATATGATGAAGACGTGGTAGAAAGATACTCCTATGAAGTACCAACCAAATGGCTTTGCCTCCACCAAAAGACATAGAGACTGTTACCTCTATGCTAAGTTTGTGTTTGGGTATCCCCTGGGTTGGCATCAGAGGCTCTTGAATTGGTGTTTGTTTAGAGCATTGCCTCTATCCTGAGGATAAAATGATTCTATTAACAGTGTTGACGTTGATTTTTTAATGAAATGAGATAAAATATCTTTTCATAACCAGCTGCATTTTTTTTCCCCTAACATTTGTTTTTGGAGGCTTATCAAGAGTTGGAGAACTCAGTGTAGAGCAAAACCTACATTTCTCCTACTGGGCCAGCTATTCCACTTAGCTTGGGTAACAAGTAGTGCTTTTGTTATCCATTTTTTGCTACTTCTGACCTTGCCTTCCAGGCCTACCAATAGCAGAACCAATCCATCTGTCCCTGAGATACTCATGTTGTTTCAAATCCCTTCTCCCTCTTCTGACATAGTCTCATTCTCTATATGTTGTGCCCTATCCACATGGAATCATTTATCGTCCTCTGTAATAAACTGGCCAAGATACTAAAGGCTTACTATTAATAGCAATTTTTAATTACTTATCATCCAATTATTTGGATTGGAGAAGAGGGGGCAATCACTCCTCTTTTTCTTATTTTTTTTGGAAAAAGAGTCTCACCTAACTCTGTCACCAGGGCTGGAGTACAGTGACGCGATCACAGCTCACTGCAGCCTCAAACTCCCAGGCTCAAGCAATCTTCCTACCTCAGCCCTCCTGAGTAATTGGGACTACAGGCATGTACCACCAGGCTTGGCTAATTTTTACATACTGTATTCAATAGTCAAGAACAGGCAAAAACTACTCTATTATGATAAAAATCAGAATAGTGATTGCCTGAGGAAAGGGATATGAGATAACTTTCTCGGGGTGACAGAAAGTTTCTTATATTGATTTGGGTAATAGTAACATAGCTATATGTATATATTAGTTAAAATTCTTCACAGTAAATATTTTAAATTGATACATTTACATTTATGACAATATACCTCAAAAAAAGTAAGTTAGGGTAAAAAGTAATTATTTACATGAAATAAATAATGACCTCATTTACATCAAACCGTATACATGTGTATATTTAGGGTATGTATTATGTACAGAGAAACAATTCAGGAAAATCCAAGGAGGGGACATTTTATCTTCTTACCCATTTACTGAATGCAACATTACTGCACACCAAGACAAAAGAGCTCTCCAGGAAAACATTGGATATATTGAAAGCATTAAAAGATACTGAGAAAGCCCTAATAAATTCAGTCTGTTTATTTTCCAGGTTTCATAAACTGCATACTTAGAAAACTGTGCTTTCAGTGAGTTAAACTTCTTTTTTAAGGAACTCTCATAGTTTTAAGAAAAACATTTTAAGAAGACAAAAATATCTATTAAGCCCATCTAAAAACCTAATGCAAATTTCCAAAAAAGGAGCACATAGAGATAGAGGAGGAGGCCAACGTGGTGCCTCACACCTGTTAATTCCAGCACTTTGGGAGGCCAAGACAGGAGGATCACTTTAGGCCCAGAGTTGGAGACCAGCCTGGGCAACATAGCAAGACCCTGTCTCTTTAAAAAAAAAAAAAAGATGGGAGAAGCTACAAGAAGAAACCTAGAACTTTAGAGCAGGAGTAAACCTTAGAGCATGTAAAGTCTATTTTGGAGATGAGGAACAGACCCAGAAAGATGACCTGGCTTCCCTGAGTCCCATGGCTAGTTAGTACAGACATTTCAGCCATAACCCACCTCTAATTCCCAAATACTCTTTTTCTACTGGCACATAGAGATGGGGGAGGAGTCAGGGCATGGTGGCCCACACCTATAGTTCCAGCACTTTGGGAGGCTAAATGAGAGAATTGCTTGAAGCCAGGAGTTGGACACCAGCCTAGGCAACATAGGGAGAGCCGTGACGACAAAAAATTTAAAGATTAGCTGGGCATGGTAGCACATGCCTGTGGTCCCAGCTACTCAGGAGGTTGAGGTGGGAGGATCACTTGAGCCCCAGAGGTCAAGGCTGCAGTGAGCTATAATCATGCTACTACACTCCAGCCTGGGTGACAAAGCGAGACCCTGTCTCAAAGGGAGGGAGGTAAGAATGAGAGGAAGGAACAGGGGAGTACGTCTTTTAAGGGCCCAAGTATCCTGAATGGCTCACTAGTATAGAACATTGTGGTAGAGAAATTACTTTTTTTTTTTTTTTTTTTTTTTTTTTTTTTTTTTTTTTTTTTTTTTTGAGGCAGAGTCTCGCTCTGTAGCCCAGGCTGGAGTGCAGTGGCCAGATCTCAGCTCACTGCAAGCTCCGCCTCCCGGGTCCACGCCATTCTCCTGCCTCAGCCTCGTGAGTAGCTAGGACTACAGGCGCCTGTCACCTCGCCCAGCTAGTTTTTTTTGTATTTTTTAGTAGAGACGGGGTTTCACCGTGTTAGCCAGGATGGTCTCGATCTCCTGACCTCGTGATTTGCCTACCTTGGCCTCCCAAAGTGCTGGGATTACAGGCTTGAGCCACCGCGCCCGGCCGAGAAATTACATTTTAAAACAACTCTAATACCATTTAGAAACAAAACCCTAACTTCTGCTTGAGATAAACTGAGGTATATCAGTCCCTTGTCCAGGAGTGGGGAACCAGTGTAGGGTTGCTCAGAGTAAGTTATGCTGCCACAGTGACCTTGAGGAGTGCAGGGTTTCCCTGAAGGAAGCCCTGGAAACAGACACTTAGGCTGCCCATTTGTGTCCTGATCATTTGAGTGGAAAAAAAAAAAAGCTAACTGTAAAGCAAGCTCCTGGACACCACGAGAAGAAGGAATTATTTTAAAAGCTGTACTCTTAAATTGTTAGTATCTTTAAAATCAGTTGTGAACAATGAAGGATTTGAAAGAGCATTGACTTTGCCACATAAAAGTATTTCTAAAATACTTTGTGCTTCCCCCTGGCATTCTGAATTTATACTCTTTTCCTCCTGCTGTTCTCAGACCCAGTGAAAAGAAAATCTCAAGGGAGAAGGCTGAGTTTATTCTCTCAGGGCTCTGAGAGAGGTGGCTTGTTCTTCATATGCAATTAATTTTCTCCTCAAGTCTGTACTTAAATATAATTACTGTTTCCTTGGTCCTCTAGCAGATTTCTCACTGTTTTGTTTTTGTTTTTGTTTTGAGACAGTCTTGATCTTTTATCTAGGCTGGAGTGCAACGGTATGATCTCGGTTCACTGCAACTTCTGCCTCCCGGGTTCAAGTAATTCTCATGCCTCTGCCTCTCGGGCAGCTGGAATTACAGGCACGCGCCATGACGCCAGGCTAATTTCCTTTTTTAGTAGAGACAGGGTTTCACCATGTTGCCCTGGTTGCTCTCAAACTCTTGGCCTCAGGTAATCCACCCACCTCAGCCTCCCAAAGTGCTGGGATTACAGGCGTGAGCCACCCGGCACAGCCTGAAATGAGGCATCTCTATAGTCCAGCAGCCCTACAGGAGGCAGGAGGGGAGCAAGAATAAGAAAGGAAATTTGTAGAAGGCACTTAGGAGTGAGCAGAAAGGAAATTGGACCAGCTTTCACCTGCGCAGTCCTGGCCAGTGACAAGCAGTCTGCTTAAGTCTATGCTAAATAAACAAAGGAAGTTCCATTTAGAGCTCTACACAGAGGAAGCCATAGAAAATAACAGGATGAAAATACAAGAGACAGGAACACAGATGAATAAATGTAATAAAATTTGAGAAATAATCTTTAATTTTCTTTCATCATCTCCATTTATACTTTTTCATGATTTCCTGACATTCTCTCTCCCCAGGTTTAGTTTTTTGTTTTTGGTTTTTTTGTTTTGTTTTGTTTTGCCATTATTTGATCTGATGAGTGCTTCCAGAGGCTGTGCTACATACACAACTTGCTTTTAAGTGGTAATTGAAATAAGCAGGAAGACAATTATCTAGTCACTGATGGCAGCTAAAAATAGTTTGTTTTGCTACCAGAGTGCCCTCAGAAGTATACTCCTATCTAATGGATTGAGTTATTATGATAATCGTGATAATTTGTTATAAATGGCAGTAACATGGGAAGGTTTTTTTTTGGTAACTTCTGACAAGAAATTTGATGTAGAGAGTTAATATCGAGCACATTAAAATGACTACCCCACTCATCTCTTCAGTGCTAAAACCCAGCCCAAGAAGCAAATACTTAAGAAATCATTAGTAGGGGCTTTAATTTTGAATATGTTAAACATTAATTCATTTTAATGAGACCAGGTCCGGTTGCCTCATCACTCTCAGATGGACTAGAACATTATATAGATAACAATTTCAGTTCACATCTAAATAGTTAAAGTCTGCTATTAAAAGAGATTTCCTGGCCAGGCGTGGTGACTCATGTCTGTAATCCCAGCACTTTGGAAGGCCGAGGCGGGCGGATCACCTGAGGTCAAGACATTGAGACCATCCTGGCCAATATGGTGAAACCCCGCCTCTACTAAAAATACAAAAATTAGCTGGGCATGGTGGTGTGCACCTGTAGTTCCAGCTACTCAGGAGGCTGAGGCAGGAGAATTGCTTGAACCCTGGAGGCAGAGGTTGTAGTGAGCTGAGATTGCACCACTGTACTCCAGCCTGATGACAGAGCGAGACTCCATCTCAAAAATAAATAAGTAAATAAATAAATAAATAAATAAATAAATAAATAAAGAGGTTTCTTGTGCTTTCTATGACTGCATCAGAACAGAGAATGTCAGTATCCAATAGGATACCAATGGAATTCCCTGACAATTCCATCCATGTGGCCCTGCTGGAGCAGGGTAGTGTCCTAAGCTGGGAGAATGGGATGGAGCCTCCACCTCGTGAAGTAGCTTCCTTTGGAGGTGGCTATGGCAGGTCTTCGGAGAGGTAAGTCCCTCACCCAGACTTGTTGCTTAGATGTACTTATATTACTGATTCTTTGAAAATAAATCATTCTTATATTTTATTCCTCTTTTCAATGACCTTGCTCTAGAATCCAAACCTGCTTTTTTTTCTGTCCTGTGTTCCATGACTGGACAGTCTATTGCTATTAAGTTGTTATACGTATATATTTTTCTATACATATATACTCATTTTTTATTTTTCTATACATGTATACTTATTCTCTATGAACTCTTTTGTAACATGTTTTTTTTCACCTGACAGAAAATGAAAAGTTTTCCCCGTTCTTATAGTCACTTCATCCTCATGTATTCTTTTTGTGTTTATGTGAGATGGAGTTTTGCTCTTCTTGCCCAGGCTGGAGTGCAATGGCGTGATCTCAGCTCACTGCAACCTCTGCCTCCCTGGTTCAAGCAATTCTTCTGCCTCAGCCTCCTGAGTAGCTGGGATTACAGGCATGCGCCACTATGCCCAGCTGATTTTGTATTTTTAGTAGAGACAGGGTTTCTCCATGTTGGTCAGGCTAGTCTTGAACTCCAGACCTCAGGTGATCCGCCCACCTCAGCCTCCCAAAGTGCTGGGATTACAGGTGTGAGCCACCGCACTTGGCCTCATGTATTCTAATAATTAATAATGTAAATTCATAAAAAGGGGCAG